TCTCTCTCCCCCTCTCTCTCTCTCTCTCTCTCTCTCTCTGTGTCTCTCTCTCCGCGGCCCAAAGATGGAAAGTGCAAAACGGTCTTCATTGTTTTTCAATTTCTTTTTTTCTTTGGGCAGAAGAGTTGTCAATTTTTTATTTATTTTTTTTATTTTTTTTATGTGTACCGACGGTAGCTCGAGGCTCGACAAGGTTCGGGTTATCGGTAGGCTGACACACGAGACATATCAGCCGAACAGGAAAGATCATCTAATCCAAATTTAATCAAAACAAAAACTCTCCAGCAAAATACGCCAGTTTACGCCATGCTAGAAAAAGATCACGTGTGCCTGAGGCTTGTGCGCCCCATGCACTTCCTACTCCTTTCAAACAGTCTCACACAGGAAGAAATCCGGCCGCAACTCGTGCGGTGCTCCCAACTGTCAATCAAAATCCTTTTCTGTTACTTGCAAAATCCACGGCGGGTACCCTTGTAAGGGTATTCGCGCCACAGCGTCCCATATACAAAGACTAAGGAAAGATTGCCGGGGGCATTACCCGGCTTCGGCTGTCCTCAGGAAGCAGGATAACAAAGACCAACAACAAAACCACTAGGCGAATCCCTCGTAGCTTCCCCTAGCCAATCCTAGCCAATCCTTTCAATCCTGACCTGCATCAGCCAAGCTGGTGCAGGCGCAGGGCCTCGCTCCACCAGTCACCAAACCCTATATTTCCACTGGTGAGTACTCACGTGGGACTTGAGTACTCACGTCGGGACTTTCGTCACCAAAAACACTTGACCACTCCAGAGTTGTACAGGATAAGGCCGGGGCCGCCCGGACAGGCCAGGGTCAGCGGGGCCGGCCTTAGCACCGAAGGGCCCCAGACGGTGAGTTACCACGTTTTTGTTTTTTTCCCCTGAGTTACCACGTTTGGTGCGCGCCGGCGACGAGGCAGCACAACCCCCATCAAAGGCAGGGAAAAAGGGAAGCGTGGTGAGTACTCATCAAGGCCGAGTCACCACACAAAAAATACGGACTTCTGACCGGGACACTGGAGCCTAAGGTGGGTATGGGCCCCAGTATATTCACCGGGGGTGTTTGTGAGGGATTCCCGGCCTTCTTTTCCCATTGATAATGAAGTTGTTTGCTCTCCCCCCCCAAAAAAGTCGTCCTCATCGTCATCATCGTCATCACAATGAAAGCATGATGATCATCATAAATCATTAGGTGGCTGCGACTCCGGCTTTCATTGGCCGGTCGTACTGTCTTGCCACGTCACACCAATTCACCATTTTCCAGATATGCTTCAAGTAACCAGGCCAGACGTTCTTGTACTGCAAATAGTAGGCGTGCTCCCGCAGACGTTGATCCCCAAGATGGACACCAATGCCACGTCTTTAGCCACCTGGGGCTGTTGATTTGGTGCCGTCGTGTCAACGCGGAATTTGCCCGTCTCCTTGTTGAGGCCCGCCCATCCCGACGCCTTTACACCGGCTGACGCCTCCTTCACCTTCTCAATTAGCTTTTCAAGTGCTTCAAGCTGATTGGCTATGGCGTTGGGGAAGATAACTCCCCGCCGCCCTTCTACTCCGGCGCGAAATTTTCCCAAAACTGGCAGTAATTGACGTTGCCCCCGCCGTTGAGCCTCAGAGCGCCCCCGTTCAAGGCAATCATCGACCCCCCCTGAAAAAGTTCCTCGAGGCAACGGGCGGGACAAGGCGCAGCCTCCTGTCTGCGAACACGTATGTTCGATGGAGATAGACTTTGCCTACAGCTGAAGACCTCGCCGGACCTAGCTGGCTGCAATTAGCGCCACATTCAGTACAGTTTAGGAGTCCTGCGCTAGTACGGACAGAATGCCATGCCAGTCATACCTCAGGAGGTATCGCGGGAGAGGAGGAGATGATTCCAACTCGAAGGCTTCTCGGCTGAATGGCCGCTAGGTTATGGTAGCCTGAAGGCACCATTGTTTTCTGATCGTGTAAGAGCAGAAGATACTCTGAATCTGCCCCTTTGTGTTTGATCCTCACATCCCGCGTGTATAGCAGGCGATTTGTCTGAACACTTCCTTGTTAACTCTTTTTGCAATTCTGTCCTTCGGGACATCCATTAAAATTGCAACGATAGCCAGAAGATTTAACTCTTAGCAAATATATATATTCTAATTGGTGAGTAGTAAGCATTGGTGGCTTCTGTTCCTCGGCGATTTCGTCCATCGCCACAGCACGCAGAACCGCCCGAAAAACGCATATTGGAAACCACCAGGCGATTGCGTACAAGTATACAAGTATTCCACGTTTTCGTTGGTGTGATTGGGAGGGAGTAGGCAGCAGAGTGGTATATGTTACCAGTATGTTCCTCGGCGATTTTTTTGTCAGCGAGCCCACCGCCGTTGCTTTTTCCGCCATCGTCATCAAGCAGAACTGCGTGGAAAATGCATGCCATCGATCATACCGTCGGCGGTGTCGCATTTATGGCGGGGGTGTGCGGAAGTGGAAGTGGACAAATTCGGCAGTTCAAAAACGAGTATGTTCAGAAAAAGGCGGGAGAAAGGTACGGCATTGCAACAACAACAACAACAACAGCTTTGAAGAATCTTCCACGTAGAGTTGGAACAAGGCCGCTAGCGGGAGCCATCTGGGACTCCTCGACGAATTCCCTGCGGCAGGAAAACCTGTTCGATATGAAATATGAACCCGCATTAGCACTATCGCGAAGATATAATGGACTACTACAAGAATTAACAGTGGCCAAGCAAACGCATTCCACCTTGGGTTCGTTTCTACGGGTAGGGTGTGGCAGAAGCGGACAGCATTGTTATTGTCTCGGACTTATTGATGGTGAAGGTCCTTTCCGGAAATACGGGGAAGGTGAAGGGTGTATTATGCAATTGACAGCAACTCAGAAGCATCCGTCCTTCAAATTTTCGTCAGCATTCAGTAGCCCGTTTCTCACATTAATAGGAAAACACGTCCACATCGTTCACCGACTCTCACCGTCCTCTTCCTCCTCTCCTTCTTCTTCTTCTTCCTTCGGTTGCCGTTCGATTTGCTCGCTGACGGCTTGTCGTCGATCTGGCTCTGCCATTTTGCCTGATCGACTGACGGAATCAGGATCGCCAGCAGTCGGCTTGGAGATGGGACACCATCTTGCTGTAGGTGCGGTGGGAATCTTCACAACCTTCGTCATTTCCTCCAGATCCGTCGGCATTTCCCATGCGGATGCAGGCCTTGGTCTTGAAAGCCTCGTCTGCAGGAACAAAGGCGTCCTCGAGACAGCTCAGCGCCGCCATTATCTGTTCGCCAGGCAAATGGGAGGAGGAATCGCAGTGGCGGGTCGTTCGTGCGGCGGCGCCACAGCCGGCGCTGGATGCGGTACTAGGCCATCGGAAAAACAGAATTTGTGTGTGGCGGTCGCTAGCGGAAGACCGGAAGCACAATTAGAGAACGACGAAGAGGCCGTCCTTGCGATCGATGTTGGGACAGGTGGCACGAAGGCGGCGATTATCACTCGCGCTGGACGTGTCAAGAGGACTGGGTTTTGCGCGCATACCTCTACCAAATCTGAGCCTGTTGGAGACTCGAAGACGGTGGAGCAGGATCCGGAGGAGTGGTGGGACGCCACGTGTGCAGCCGTGAGGCAATGCATGAGTGTAGAGAAAGGCTCATCTCAATCTCAATCGCGTCCTTCATGGAAGATCATRGCTGTGGCAGTGACTGGGCAAATGCAGGATGTGGTATTATTGCCTAAGGATCCTTCTCTGAGGACTCCCCCATCAATACTGTATTCGGATGGCAGAGCTTCTTTGGAACTTGAAGAGGTCTGCGTGCTCGGAGGAGGGGTGGAAAAARTTGCAGCCTTGACTGGAACTAAGCAGGGTTCATGGAGTTTTCTTGCCAAGCTCCGRTGGCTGGATAGAYATGCTCCCACTGCAGTGCATGATTGCTCAAGGCTGCTGTTTGCCGGGCACGACTTCGTGGTCTGGCGGATGTCCGGGAAATGTGTGGCTGATGCAACAACAGCATCAACTACAGGTCTTTTTCTTGCAGAATCCCCAGGATCTGTTGCCTTTGATCTGATGAAGCAAGTTGGGCTAGACCAGTGGATTAGTAAACTACCGGATATCGTCCCAGCTGATGAACCATGTGGTGAGGTATTGAAACAGGTGGCGGAACAGTGGGGTAACCCTGTACTGGCGGGCCTTCCAGTGTTCCACAGCATTGGTGATGTCGGAGCAAGCACTATAGGATCAGGTGCTGGCGTTCCTGGACCACTCTATATTTGCATTGGAACATCAGGCTGGGTCGCAGGCTCCTTCCGGCGACAGGGGCGAGGCCACAAAAGCAACAACAGCAACAATATAATGCCTACGACTACAATGCCTACGGTGCCTACCGGTACCAGGTCGTCCAATTTGCAGGAACCAGTTGCAAACGCAAGGGGTATCACCGGGGAAGGGGACGCGGAAGAAATGGATGACAAGTTTGAAAAAGAAGTAATGCCAGAGTCAATACCAGGTGTTTTCACATTGGCCCATGTGGACCCTGACCTGGTCCTCAAGATTGGTGCCATAATGACAGGCGGAGGAAATTTCAAATGGGCCATTTCTGCAATAGGCCACGATATTCCCGGTGGAATGCCAGTAGCCGACGCCGATGAAATTGCTGCACAGTCACCTGCAGGGTCAAGGGGGGTGATTTACCTTCCTTACTTGAACGGTGAGCGTTGTCCAATTGACGACGTTTATGCTCGTGGTGCGTTTCTTGGGCTGTCTCTCGTAGCTGACCGATCTACAATGTTGCGTGCAGTTATGGAAGGAGTTGTGTTTGGACTCCGTGCTGCGAGGGATGCACTGTTCGTCATGGGTGAAGCAGATGCTGACGCAAAGCAGCAGCAATGCAGCTTGGCCCCTCTTCGTGTTGTTGGAGGTGGAGCAAGATCTCGAATTTGGCCTGAAATAATTGCGGGAGTCTTTGACAGGAATGTTGAAGTGCTTGCAGACCCGCAGGAAGTAACAATCAAAGGTGCTGCAATCTTGGCAGGGAAATGGCTAGGTTGGCATGACACCCTTGAACCTTCCGGCGAATGGTTCGCAGTGGAGAAATTTCACTCTGTTTCACCTGAGGAAGTTAAGTTGTATGACAACATTTATAGCATCTTCAGCAGCTGTTATCCTGCCTTGAGGGGAATAATGGAGCGAATGGCAAAACTCAGGTTATAAAACTTCAATTTGGTCTTTTTACATCACACCCTCTTCTTCACTTTTCAAGGTTGTCAACCATGGGCATGTCACTGCAAACACGTATGCAGGTCATCGGTTCCTTCGCCTATCCGATAGATGTGTCGGGCATACTGGAATGAAGTTTGTTCATGGTTGGGCTCTTTGTGGCCAACCTGTTCGCCAATCAAGCCCATGCACTGGCAGATCTCTCCGTTGAGCTATCCTTTTTTCATGCGTTATTTTGCACAACACCAGCCAGGTTTAGAAGACAGTGAACAACTGCCTCCTTCGAAGGAGAAGAAGAGAACTGTGGACTGAACAGGCAACATGGTGCAGAGTCTGTCATGGTCAACAGAAAGAGGATCTGCTTCCCTGCCAACCCTAAGTGGAGTAAAAGAGAGGCAGGGTTTTAAGGTGCCTGCAATAGAGGAGTGGTCTCCAAAAGGAGTAGAAGGAAGGCGGAGGAGCTGGCTTAAGGACAGGGTGTTTTGGAACTCACAGGCAGCAGCCTATCTCTGATTGCCTCACAAGCTTCTTCTTTAGCGTTGAGCGAATGGACAAGGCAGCTGTTTTAGAGGTGTGCGTGTTTCTGAGAGGGTAGCTTGAGGAAAAGAGAAAAATCTCAGACAAGGATGTGCAATAAAAAACATACAGCATGCAGCAGAATATGACTACGTACAGAATGCAATAAGGAGGAGGTTGCAAACATATATGGCTCTGCTAGGCGTAGTAGTACTTTAGAGTAGGGCTCCCATAGGTTAGACCTTGGCCTGACAGCCATGAGACACTGCCTGTGGTAATGGGTGTATCTCAGTTGGTAAGGCACACAACTTGCATTCAGGAGGTCGTAGGCTCAATTCCCATTGTCCCCACGCATGTGCCTGGGACAACTTGGTGTCTTACCATCAAGATAGCCCGTTGGTAGCAGTGCATGGTAGCTCGGCTGGTTAGAGCACTCACATGCAATGGAGAGCTTAAGAGTTTGATTCTGATTGGCCCTCCAGCCTCTCCTGCGCATGCTCAGGTGTGTTAGGTTGACACTCCACCCACCAGCCTAGCGCAATTTCTGCACACAGGGTATTTAGATTGATTGTTATGGTGAGGCATACTGTCCCATGAGGAGCCTATAGGGATGGGCATCTGAGGGGGTGCCAGGGAGGGAGCACTCGCCTGCATGGGCATCATCACGGAGGGCAGAGGGAGTCATTGCTGGAAGGGAGTGCAGATAGGGGTGTGGTCTACCCTGAATCCTGGGAGGTGGGTTGGGTTTGCAGGGTCTGCGGAACCTGCTGTGCAGGTGGCAGGGTAGTCTCACAGGAGTGGAGGGCAGACGGACCCGTTGGAGTACAGTGGGCATATGCAGATTGACACATGGTGAGGCTAGGGCCCTTGGACAGGGGGAGGAGTGCTGGCCATGGGGCCCCTATGCAGTACGGTGTCTCACGGGTTGGAGCACTTGCTGACGCGGGCATCATCATGGAAGGCAGTGATGCCGGGAGGGAGAGCAGATAGGGGTGCGCTCTGTCCTGAATCGCAGGAGGTGGGTTGGGTTTGCAGGGTGTATGGACGGTGCTGTGCACGGTCGTCTCACAGGAGTAGAGGGCAGACTAGCACAGTAGGCATACGAAAAATGACACATATGCAGAACTCAACAGACTATAGAACATCATAGATACATACATAAGAGACAGACAATGATATACAATAGAAGGCATGCAACATGCAGCTGAATACGATTACATACAGAAGGCAGGAAGGAGGAGGCTACAAATGTATACGGCTGTGCTGGGCGGAGTCGTCGAACCTAAAGGGTTGGAAAAACGTGAACAAAAACTGCTCTGTAATGACCCACCAAAACACAGACTGAGAACACTGCTGATTTCTGAGTTCTGCCGCTGAAATGGATGCCTTACCGAGATTCCTGCATTCTGCTGAGTTTTCTAAGTCTGTGTGTGTGTGCGTGCTTGATGGTCTGCGTGTCTGTCTGAATGCTGGTCGGCCTGAGTGTGTGTGTGTGTGACCCGCAGGGGTACTTGCTTGTTTGAAGGCCCATAGGGCCGGTACTTACCTGTGGCCGTGACATTGAGGGTTGCAGGGGGGGAAAAGCACTCAAGTGGCGGGTCACGAGGCCCGCGACACTTCGGGCAGCGGAAAAACACTCGAGTAGCAGGTAGGCCGGTACCACACCAAGTATAAGTAGATGTGCCGGGTACTCGAGGCCGAGCAGAAGAAGACAAAGTTGGCATTTTTAGAGGCCCAGTAGTTGTAGGCTAGGCCTAGGCGGGTACCTACGAATCCCCCCCAGTCGCGGTCGCCGCAGTCACGACCGCGGCCTGCAGTCATGGCCGCAGCCCTGCGGTCATGACCGCAGCCGCAATGATTTTTGTGGTCGCTTAGCAACCAGAGGGGGAGGAGGTTGGGGGTGGGGTTTGCGGATTGGGGTTCCGGAACCCCGACTCTACCCCCTCGATGAAAAGAAGTAAAAAAAACGATTTTCAGGGGGGGTGGTGGTGGTTGGTGTGTGAAAACCAAATTAAAATATATACTCCTGATGAGTCGGTGAAACTCCGACGAAACAGTTTGCCACAGCCCCTCGTTTGTTGTCCTCTTCTCCCTCTCTGCCTGTGGTTTACCGGGCAGCTCTGTTCGACTATATATATATATATATATATATATATATATATATTCTATTTGACCTCCTGATGAGTCGGTGAAACTCCGACGAAACAGTTTGTCACAGCCCCTCGTTTGTTGTCCTCTTCTCCCTCTCTGCCTACGGGTTACCGGGCAGTTCTATTTGACGATATATATTCTATTTGACGATATATATATATATAACTCCGACGAAACAGTTTGTCACAGCCCCTCGTTTGTTGTCCTCTTCTCCCTCTCTGCCTACGGTTTACCGGGCAGTTCTAT